TAAATGAATACACTATACATACTCTCGTTTCCGACACACTACTCCACCCCGGGACTCGAATTTTCGAAAAAAACGGCAAATGAAGCAGTCACTATTTTTTAATATAGTATTTATAATCTGTAGCAGTATTTAACCAAATCGGAATCACGTAAAAACTGTAATATATCAAGTAGGTACTACACGTAGGTTAGTTATATTATAATGTATTATTAAAAGAAACATGTAGGTGCGTCGGTAAATGTTAATTATAATTATTTTTTTGCCCAATAAATATCGTCAAACGAATAATAATAATATATATAATATAATAATGCAAATTTAAAAAAAAAATTAACACTTTCGTTAAAAATGATAAATGTGACGAAAAAAAAAAACGCAAAAAAAAAGAAATTCGATTTAACACGGCCCCGCCGGCGTTCGAAACCACGACCGTCGAATCACCCGTTTTAACGCCTAACCTACCTAGCCACCTACCGAGATGAAATTAAGAGTCAAATCTATGACTCTTAAGGGCGTTTGAGCGGACCACCGTGTCCGCCACCTTCGGACGTTCAAAACGCGAGATTTGCGAAAAAAATCGAACCTCGAGGCGCATGTATATACATGCGTATATATGCCTGTATATAGCGATACCTACACGGTACCTACTCTCGTTTCCGACACACTACTCCACCCCGGGACTCGTCTGTGGCTATAAATATAGCAGGGAACGCGAATAAGTAGTCGACGGGGAGGGTGATATGACCGAAAGGGGCTAAAACTATAATTTTCAAAAAAAACGGCAAAAAGAGCAGTCATATAGTCGTACTATTTAACTGCCAGAGTTTAATCAGTTCTATTAGATCTATTAGTTTATTAATACCGTATTAAACAGTATTTAACCTAAAAACTGTAATATATCAAGTAGGTACTACATGTAGGTTAGTTATATTATATTGTATTTATATAAGAAACATATAGGTGCGTTGGTCACGGTAAAATCAAGTATTATTATTATTATTTATAAAATAGTACAGTATCATTATACAATTTAGTTACAATTAAAAATATCTACTTTAATATATTATATTAATAATTTTTTGCCAAAAAAAAAAAATGTGACGAAAAAAAAAACTCGAAAAAAAAACATTCAAATTATCACGGATGGCGCAAATTATCGAAAATCCCAGAGGCCGGGTTCGAACCCACGACCCTCGAGTCACTTATCCTATCGCCTAACCAACCTAGCCACCTACACAGATGTAATTCCGAGGCAAATGTATGACTCTTAAGCCGCGTCGCCGTGCTCGCGGCGATAAAATAAAATTCTTATCACTTTCCTTATCAATAAAAACAATATTTAAGAAAATCCCAATAAATTCTATCAAAAACTCAAAACCCCGAGTTTCCCCTTGGCGAGGTGGGTGTTAGTACTCTCCCGGACCAAAATCCATCAAAAAAGCAAAATCCAAAAAGGGGGGGAGGAGGTGCCCCCGTTCCCTAAAGCGGAAAACGGTAGTATTCATAAAAAGAATGGGTTCCCCCTTGGTCCGAGGTGTTTAACTTGAATTCCGGCCGAGTTATACTCAACTCAAAATGTGGGGGGGGTGGGGGCTTTGGTTCCCTAATGTTGAAAATTCATCTGGGGCCTAAAAAATTGAGATGCCCATTGGTACGGGGTCTCTAAGTCGAATACCGGCTAAGTTATACTTGGTCAAAAATAATTACTCGTTTAATGGGTTGGGGGGACGGTCGCGGGGTAATCGATTTATAAGACGTTATTATCACGTCAAAAAATTGAAAAACACGGGTTTTTTTTAATAATAATAATAATGTTCGAAAATATTAGGATCGATAAGGAAAAGGGAGATAAGCGAGCGGAATTTATAGCGAACGCGCGGGAAGTATTGTGATTGGTCGTCATGGAAGAAACGCGGAGTGCCGTGAGCGCTCCCCGCGGATCTTATACGCGTTATTAGCGTTTTATTATATAAGATTTATTATAATATAGAATAAAAATAACCCTGTTTGTTATTTGCGTCGTTTGTGGCCACCATTCGATAATAAGAATTAATACTTAGTACTAGTTAGTATAATATAATATATAATATATCCACTATAAGGCGGTACTTTGGACAAGCGGAGCATAGGGCAAATACAAATTAGATTTGATATTAATTATAAAGTTTGGGTGTCAATATTGCAATCGTTATTTTATTATTGAAATACGTTAAAGATGTGAAAATGTTTTCATACATGAATACTTTGCTGAATATTGACTATACGCCTAATACTTTTAGTACAAAAAGTACCTAGGTATATATACTTCCGGTACCGGTGGCCAATGGTGAACTAGTGGACAGTCGTGACCGATATCGCATATTCGTATCGCTGCGACAACAATGGTCGATAAGAGGGCATCGAGGCTAACCCGTATTTTAAGGGGCATAACATCACAAAGAATCGTTGACAATTAAAATTATAATAGTGATCGCGTGTTAACAGCACTATAGGTATTATACTTTGTTACGCTTTGTTTCGTAACTACAAAATTATATTATAAAAAGCTGTTTTTCTCCATCCAATACCACGTGCTTGAAATAAAAAAAACCAGTCCAAATGTCACGGGAAGATAGGTTCTCTTAGGTTGGGGGAAAAAAAATACTGTTTCACTCTGTTACAAACGCGTGCTGAGATTCTGAGTGCTTTAGGTTAATTAAATGACTTTTATACGGTTATCACGAGTAAACGCTAATTTTAATTATACCTAAAACTATTTGCCGCGATAAGCCTGTCGGTTGTTTTCGTAATGTTATGTTTAATCGCGAAACTGAAATATTAGAGCAGCTGAGCTGCACCTTCAACGGATAGAATCGTACGGTGCTTATCGGCCGTACCTATACCTGCCTTTTATATTAAACGCGATACGATTGAGATGGTCAAATTAATTTAATTTTTGTGCGACGTCCACTCGTTGGGAAATCGCGACGGCGTATATTATTATTATGATGGTTATACGTATTATAGGTCGTATACCTTATATGAGAGGACGTCGTGCCCGCATAATAATAATATACACGCGAGCGACATTGCAAATTTTCGTTTTTATTAAAAATTTCAATAGTGTGCTGTAAGCTAAGGCGCACGTCAAAAAAAACTGCCGAGGCACACGTGCATGGCCACCTGTTATGCACTGCGACCGCACTGATTTGGTTCTACGCCCGGCCTTAGTTTTAGAATATTAAAGTGGATTGATTGATCTATTGTCAAACGTTAAGATGAGAACATTATCTGTGTTCTCTAGTCAGTTTTTTACGATATTTTAATTGTTAAGTGAATTATGAGAATTTTCTAGTATTAATATTTTACATTCTCATAACAAAATAAACTCTTATTTATTTGTAGTACATACAACTATCGTCGGAGGCCTAAAGTTTGATGGTAAATAATTACGTATAAAACTTCGGAAAATATTATTTTCCAAATTGTATCCGTTTGGAAATATATTTCGTTGGAAAAGTATTTGAATGGAAACGTATTTCGATAGAAAAGTTTTTGATAAGAAACGTGTATGCGTTTGGAAATTAAACCGTCGGAAAATATTGCATTGGAATCGTTTTTAATTGAAACTTATTTTTGTGTTGGAATATTGTAAGTGTAGATATACGTATGTATTTCGTTGGAAATGAACTTTTTCGAAACCGCTCAATATAACGTCATAAATTTCACAATGGTATACATTTCCAACAAAGTATTTTCCATTTATTGCGACTACCTATAACAACTATTATAATTTATCACACTAGGGCAGGCTTAGTACACGCTATATTATATTAATCGCTTCCAAAGGTTTTATATTTTTTCATTGGCTGTTCACAATGTCGTATACTCTGAACAAATTTTCGAGAGGGGTGAATCTTTAACCTTTCCCCCCCTCTGGCCCCATGGGTACGGCCTTGGATGTTGAGTATTTTTGTTGGATTTTTTTTTTGTAAACTGATGATAAATATGTAATTTGCAGATCAACTGCACCAGATGGAATGAATAGTAAATCACATTTTGGTATATGTACAAAAAAATTATATTTTTAATAAGTAGTAAAAATAATTTACAATTTAAACTTAACACTAAAATGGAAATAAGGCACTTAAACATAATACAATATGCCTTTGTACAGACAGGAGCATTATAAATTACATATAATTTAACAAATCGTTTAAAAACATTTAAACTTTATCCCTGTATACGTGGTGGTTTTAAAATGAGCAATTTCAAAAAGTCGATAGTCATAGCCTAATATATATTTACTTAGGTAGGTAACAATATTTTAGAAAAGTAAAAAATTCGTTATAAAAATACCTTAAAAAAATATTTGCTAAACATAATGGGTACAAAAAAATAATTAAAATTTCAATGATATAAAAAAATTACCAGAATAGTAAAATAATGGTTCTACAATTTAGAAATATGCATACGGTACGATTTAGATAATACACGTCATATAATTATGTATATTATTTTGAGATGATGATGAAACAAAAGGAGAAAAAAGTGTACCTAATCGTAATCAACTTAATAGCGTAATGACTAGACTTTAAATGCACTATAACAAAAGTTAACAAAAACATAATAAATATTATGAAGTTATATAAAAAAAAAAAATGAATGTTGAAATTCGAATAAAACAATTCGTAATCATTACAGTATTTGTCCACCTTAATAATAATAATAATAATAATAATCTGCTTTAAAGTGGCAATAACATGTTTAGAAGAAAATTTACCGTGACAAAAACAAAATATCATTTACTACTACTACTACTACTACTAATAATAATAATAATCATAATAATAATGATATTGTTAATAATAATAATAATAATATAATAATAAAAGAAACAAACAGGCTCTCGATTGATTTAAGTCCGCAGACAATTATTGTTTTTAACTATAATAATTATAATAATAATAATAATAATAATACACGATGAATGAACATTTTTCGATCGAAAATGTTCGATGTCAATTTTGATTGTCAGTCAATAGTTGTGTGTAGAAATTGGGAGGCATGCGGAATTGCAGCTCACCGGGTTCGAGCTTGTACTGAATGTCGGAGAACAGATTGATGTCGGCCGTCGTCAGCAATTGATGATGTTGTTCGGGTTCGGGCTATAAGGACAAACAAATAGAAACAACGCGGTCTTATTAAAATGTCTCACAAAATATAAAATATTAAGTACGGCGAGAACTCAAAAGTGAAAATAGGAATAATACCGGACAAAGGGAAAACAATTCGTATAACAAGGAGATGCATTTAGTTTGTGTTAATTGCGTGTCGGTGCAGTATACTCACGTGGATATTGTGTTGCTGCTGTTGATGTTGCTGCTGCTGCTGCTGCAGCACAGGGCTCTGCAAAGACAGGACACCTTGCAGTTGATTAATGTACTCAATAGCCATTTGTAAGGTCTTGACTTTGCTCATTCTCTTACTCCTGTAACAAGCAAACGAGCACGTTATAGTTTTTGTGTCGAGTGTGTAATATATGTATATAGCGTTTTTATAGATTTGTACCACACATATTATTATAATAGTATATAAAACGGTGAAAGGACTGTTATAATATGTAATATTCAATATACACGTGCAGGGCCTCGTACCCGCGACTGTGCAACAGAATGTTGCACACATTTTCCCGTTTTTGACCCCGAAAAGTGATTTGCCGAAACAGCACTGAGTGGTATACTCGCGGCTGCATCCCAGACGGATTATATACATGTAGGTGCCACGCGAGACGACGGAGCTCTGGTGCACAGGAAGTTCCTAACGAGGGTGCGGAAACAACATCTGTGGCGGCGGCGAGTACGACGCGCGAGCACACAAATGGGCCGAGACGCTCGAAATATTGGCGACATGTGACTTAAATTATATTTATTATTATATTAGTGTTTTTATTATATGTTATTATGTACAGTATACACCTTCCAGACATAGGCGCACTCGATTGTCACCGCACGTGGTACCCGGCCTGGTATAATAGCAATAACAATAATAATAATAATAATCTAGGTATATATAGCGGTATATACTGTGGAAATCCCAAAAGTACTCAAGGGTTGATTGAATTTATGATTTGCAGATTTGTGGTGGTGTCGGGATGGGAGTCGGGGATGAGATTAGCGCGTTTTGTGCAACGTCCTGTTTATATTATAGTCGTATACGGGAAAGCGAGACGATTTGCGGTGCGAGTAAGTTGGAAAAAAACGTATGCGATTACGTGAGGCCGGGAATTAAATGACGAAAAAATATCTATTCTCTCCGAGTGCGTACCTGTTGCAGCAGGCTGTGGTATAATGAAGCGTTTTAGCGGGTATAATAATAATTATTGTACAACGTACATGACGGCGGGAGGGGTTGTTAATATTTCAGAATCCGCGCGTGGCATCAGCCGCGGGGACGACTGAAAACGCGTGTACAGTTATTAAAACAAAAATCGAACCAGGCACGCGCCGGACGCGAGCATCATTTAAACTTGTATAATATGTGTATATATATATATATATATTATATACTTAATATATGATATCTATACACATTAATACGGACGTCGTAAAGTAGGTGCGATCGCCAATAATAATTGACTGGTGTCGGCGGTCCAGAAGCACCTGTTGTTTTGTTTTTTTTTTTTATCCGATTCTTTCATTGGTGGCACACGACTACTAAGTGTAAAAAAAAAAACCAGTTTGCCGAAAAATAAGACAGCGGCGCCGGCGAAGGGGCGGCGCGGAGGGAGAGTGAAAAGCTGGTCAAAATATTATAATAATATGTACATTCGCCGCCGCCGCGTACCGGTTCCACCCGAAATGTTTTTTAATCTCTTCCTCTTGGCCGGCGCACACGTCTCATGTAGGTATATAATAAAATATTGATGAGACGTGTGTTAATGTGTGTGTGTGAGTGTGTGCAGCGTAATATTATTATTAATAACGGGGACCGGCGGCGGAGGAGTAGACGATTCGGTCGTCGGTCATAATATATATAATATATATACATATCATTATATAGATGTGCATGTACGCATGTGTATGTAATATTATATTATACATAGGAGGAGGACTAGGACAAGGAAGAAGGAACGAGTCGACCTGCTACCGACGACCAAGACGAAGACGACGACGACCGCGTCTCGTTGCAGGTGCTTTTTTGGTTTTTTTCTTAGTTTTTTGGGCGGCTCGTGCCACGGGACACGCCACCGCATCACCTGTCCCGTCGTCGTATATAGTTTGACCTCAAGTGCCGCCCGAGAAGACGTTATTACTTATATTTGTACAAAATTTCCGCCGCACGCTAACACTAATTATTACGACCAGTTTTTATTATTATTATTTCGTTTTAATGTTTTATTATCGGCGGCGGTCCGGTGGTTCCTTCTTTTATATTATATTATTATGCGCATACCGCGTACTTATAATATATATTATAATTTTATATCTCCTCCGTTTTTACATATAATATACCGTTGACAGCAGGAGAGAGACGGGGAGAGAACTTTTCGGCAGTCAGATCGAACGCCTTTCGCCGGGTGCAACGGAATCGTTAAATTTGTTTCCGATGATAAATCAAAGAAGGCCAATATATAATTAGTGGCGTTCGTGTCGTGAAACTTCTCGGGTCCTCACAGGTGTATTGTTAAGCTATCATATTTTATCAAGGCCTGTGTTTAAGTCTCATACATAGTATGTATAGTATATAATATAGGTATACATTTTTAAACGACTCGGTGTAAAGCTTAGGTAACAGTGGATGTCATAGGATGTTAATATATAATAATATGTACATAAATATATTTAGTTTTTCGGTCGTCAAACATTACACTAATACTCCGGATATCTACCATTCCTGCACATGTACCCGTAGTGAGCGGTGATAACCGCGTATACCGAAAGAAAATCGTTTGTTTTATACCTAACCAAACGGACTTCCGAGAATTTCCGAGATAATTGAAGGTTGGGGCCGCGGGCCGTGGTGTAAGGTTTGTTTTTCGGAAACACTGTATATCGTGAAAGGATTTTACAGCCCCAGAGCAGAGCATACAGCATATAATGTAGGTAATATAATCTAAAAATACGTCTAAACGAGCGTGAACTGTCGGAAGGGAAGGTTTAATTTTTTAAACAAACATTTCGGTTCATGAACAGTGCACGGATGAGGGTTAACGACGCGGCGATTAGGAGGGCCTTGAGAACAAAAATGAGATATTATAATAATATGTATGAAGACATATTATATAGCTGTATATTCGGTTATGGTTTAGATACACGAGAGGATGCATGTGACTTTATTATAATATATGTTTAGGTACTAGCCGTCATGTTCTGTACGGCCGTCCGTTGAATGACTTCCCAGCACTTGAGACAACTACAGAAGCGTATATTGACAGTATCTGTCATTGAAACTAAATTCGTCAATGTGCCACACGCACCAGAGAAGAGTAATCTGGTAACTATTAAAATGTTGTTGTTATTGTTTTCATATTATCGAACTCGACGGAGTGTAAAAAAACAAATTTTCAATTAATTTTAACACATTTATTGATTTGAGGCGCAATGAAAAAATTAATTTTGTAATTTAAAGTTGATTCAACTAATTTATACGTTAATAGTTAATACACGCTTAATCGTTGGTTTATTTTTGTACGCAATACTTATAAACATAAATTGTTAATCTCATAACCTTCGTATTATAATCCAGTACGACGTCGAGTTGCTTATATTATCATATTATATTATATTCGGCACGTTTTTTTTGTAGGTTGTAAAATTTATATATTTTTTTTTTACACGAAAAGTCTACATTATGATGTATGAGCAGTTGGCACAAAACGTCAATGTCTTATACACCTATGTATTATATTTTTTTGATCGATCATTTTATATACGAGTATTATAGAACACGCCGAAGGGCTTGTATTTGAGTTGTGTGTTCGGTTTACAATATGATACCATACAGTCCACAGAGTTTGGAATTATATTCATAATATTCCTCAAATAAAATATAATATAATATATATAATGACGATATTTTGCTCGAATAATTTAGTATCTTGTATTGAAATGGATTACGTACATATGCGTTTAATAATTGCAAAATATCAGGGGAATAATTATTTTAACGAAGGGTGAAAAAATTACATTTACTATGCAGAACAATTTTCACATTGTCATAGCGTTGTGTAGTGAATAGACGTGTCTATACATTAAAAAAGAAAAATGATTGGAGCCGATTAATATTTGCCAAAAAAATTTGCCCGATTTCCTCGCGATAAATATAATATATATTATTGTAATAATACAATGTGTGTTTTCCATATGAATACTATACGTATTTATATATTGTAGGTAATTTAATGGTATTGCACTCACTTGTTTTCTTCGAGAGGAACGACTTTTCGGAGCCTGGCGAACGCCCAGTTGACCGCCTGCACTCGGCGTCTCTCGCGGGCGTTCCGTCTGGCCACCACCTGGGCGGGTTTCTGTCCGGCCGGCGTGTCTTTGGACCGACTGCCCTGCTTGGCTTTGGACGAACCGGCCTTCTGGCCACCGCCAGTGGACGTGGAAGCCAACGAGGGCCCGGGCGACGAGCTGGTCGTGCTGCAAATAATCGTGTTTTGACTGTCCGAGTCCGATAGCCATTCTTCCTTGTTGTTGTGAGCGAACGCTTCTGAAAGTAGAAACAACGCATTATTTTCCGGTGTAAAGACCCAACAACGGCAATCGCCAGCAGAGTACAATATAAGTATAGGTAGTATAATTTATAATAATTATAATATTATGTGAGTGCGAGTGCTCACGATGTTTTATTGTAATTTGTAATGCGACGCAGATAATAAAATATGTATATAAAGTACCTAGATATAATGCAGTTAACAAAAAAAAAAACGGGAGTAAAAACCAAATTTGAAGAGCTCACGCGCGAACGATAAGAACTGCCATTGTCGTTATAATAATATGTATAGGCATATACCTACGAGCATTATCTCTCTCGTTTTGTGTGCGCGCGGCTTATAGTAGAGCGGCGCGATGAACGCGTATTTGCATACAAACCGACCGATTAAGTATATATATTATTATTATTATGGTCGTTGTTGTTGATGCGTACTTATTTTATAATATATAGTCATCGTTCCATTAGGCAACCGCTTTCCTCAACCTCCACCCCCACCCACCCCCAATCCATCATCATCCGCAAGAGTACCGACCGCGCGCTGTGTACATATATTTCAGTTTTTTAGGTTTTACAACGGGGCGAGTCGTCATCGGTGGTTATATTATGGTCCGCTCGTATAAAAAAAAAACCGGAAACGCTAACATGGCCCTTCTTCTGTACTGCCGTCAAACAATAGGCACACTCAACATCGAGTTCTCGTTTTATTATTATTAAAATTATTTCGTTCCATTGAAACGGTGCCCGGGCTCGAAGTGAAATAAGAACTTAACATCCGTTAGAAAATTTTTATTTAAAAAAATTCCGGGATAATATACATTACATGTTATAACGATATAGACATATTATATACATTAATAATAATATTATAATATAAGTACGCGACGGTGCGGCGACGACGACACGCGTTATGTAGACGAAGACGACGTCCGACGCGCGGCCGTTCGCGCCAGCGAACAGTTTAATTTCGGTCAAAAACTGGTTCTGGTTATAATCGTCAGATATTATCGTCGTTAAATTATACTCATTAATATTGATGGCCAATAGGTATATAGAATATTATATATTATTACTATAATATTATTATAGTGGTGGATTAAATACCTATAATAATAATAATAACAACAAATTGTAATTATTTATCTATCGTCGTCGGTTGAAATCACCGCGCGATAAGAATACACGAACTATAAACAATACGATGATAATAATATTATATAGGGGTGATTTGCATATCATTACAATACGCACACGCCCGGGTAGAAGCGCGTTTCGAAACTCACCCAGTTGTTGACTAGAAGAATCAGTCGGTGACGGCGGACTTGAAGTCTCCATAAGTGCGAATTTCGACAGTGATATATTATGTATATTAAATGTACCTATAAACACGCCGAGGACAGCGTTTTTCCGGCGTTTTTTGACGTTTTTCTACGATTTTCATACACGACCGAGCGCTCGGAAACGAACAAGGTAAACGTACCGGCGGACAATATGGTGGCCGGTACGAAACTGGATCGCATACGAACGGCGAATAGGTATTTGGTCTCCGGAGAATTTTGAGATCGCATTTATCGTACAAACATCGCGCTCCAGGTATACGCAGGCACACACATAGGTATAACCTTTTGTGTTTTAAACCAGTTTTTTTTTTTGTACTTTTCCACCACCGTCGTCGTTGCACACACACACACACGCACAAACGGGGATGTTGGAGGTACCATGCAAAGCCGCCTAAAGGTCTGGGCGGCGCACAATGGAGAGGGCCTATAGAGGGTTGTGTTTGTGTGCGTGCGTTTGTGTGTAAGTATGTGTGCGTGTGCGAGTGCGTGTGTATTTGCCAGTGTGTGCGTCGTGCGAGTTTGCCACAGGGATTCCGACCCACCCTACACACAAAGACCGTCGGTTAAGTACGGTATTTCGTCGTTTATAATGTATAGGTATTATATAATAAAATATATTACCTATAGGTACACATTGGAGGGGCAAATGTAACAAATTTTTTTTTTTCAAATCGCGTCGGGGCACCCTCCGCCCAAGGGAATTCGTGATGTGCATCACGCCAGGAGGGGCTCAAAGAAGAGACGGGCGGACAATAGACACACACAAGCGACGGAGCACCCCGATTACGTAAGGCCGCGTTGTATTATTATTATTATTATAATATATACCTGCGCACTACCGGAGTTACACGTTCGCGTCGGCTATTATATTACGTAGACAATATATTTTTCTTTGGCGGACCTCACGTGGTTTCAATGTGATAGTACATTTACGTATGTCCAGAGTAAAATAATTTATTATCTCGAAAAAAAAAAAAACAATCGGGTCAAACCGTTGGATATCGAATTTGAGTGCGATATTATTGTGTAGGTACATCGTACACTATACGCTAATGCACATTATAATATATATGGAAGTATTATCTGTATATAATAGTAATAATATATTGTATTAATATAATAATATAATGATTATATATATTACATTATTGTCAAAAATATTTAATGTTCACTGAGATATTTTCCCACTGTATTACTCCTCGCCGTACGTATATAATACCTGTAGATATTATATTGGTATCTATATAATCTAATGATTTTTTTAATATCTACTTGTTATTTAGAAAAGTTTTGTTGTTATTGAAATACATTTTTATATTTCTTATATAATTTGTATTAGGTGATAATAGTTTCTCACAATTTTTTTAAATGACAGCATTCAAATTATTTAAATTATTCAAATTATTTTCAGTTTCTGAAGTTCTGAATACTTATTTAAAGTTTAAATTAGTGGAATATAATAGACCTGCAATATTTTGGGGGGTACTAATATGTTTCAATCCACACCACTAATCTATACTATATAATAATGCTGCAAGTTGAAACTAATTATATCTACTCGTTTGAAATTCGATTTTTATAAATCGAAATTCTTAGAAAAATAATCTGCTTTGGGATAGGTACCATTTGAAATTATAAAAAATGTAGGTATGCTGACTCAAGACAAAGTAAACACTTATAAAATGAAAGCGATAAAAAACCCATATTATGTACTTTTCCTAACTAACTTTATTCAAAAATTATGTTAAATTGTTCAAAACAATATTTTCAAAAACGTTAATACTTTTTGAGACAATGCGTGTTTAGTGTCTACTGTTTAATGTTAATAATAATCACTCTGTATTATAATAATATGTAACCACTAACCATACATAAGTTTCGGACACAGGCCGCCGGTCGTAATATAATAATACACGTGAGATCAAAAGAAACACGGAAAACAATATAACGTAGTCTAGCGAGTAGACGATTTTTTTTCCAAAGGTATAAAGTAGATATTACTATATTATACTCGCAAGCATTCATACACCTTATGTCATGGACCATATGACGTACATATATTTCAATTCCTTGGGAACAGACCGCGCTTATATATAGCCCATATGGTCTCTCTAGACTAGACGAGAACGGGAACGCGACGCAAACATGCAACATATGGTGCACAAAGACGTTAATGAAAGGCGTTCACCTTTTTTCCACCCTCTCGATCCGTCTGGTAACGGTACGGTCCGGACATTTCGCGGACTTGACGCGCACATTTGGTCATAACATCGTAATAATATATATTGCAGTACCTATGCATATATATACAAAATACAGTTCGTTTTGCCGAACCATATATATCACATTAAAATAATATATAGGTACGCCGCACATTATGGTTGCAGACTATATTATAATATATATACGAATGAAACTCTGTATAAACAAAACAACAGTTGCACTGCAGTGTATAGTAGTGGGCGCTGCCACCTGAGCCGAAAACTGACCAACCGTCAAATTAAATAATTTCACCCGAACCGAATCTACTTCCGGGCTGGTTATTACGTTATTATGTCCCACGCCGTACACACGCATAATCTCGATTTAACGCGCGCAACCCTGTCGGACACGTACAGCGTATATAGATAATAGTATAGAAGGGTTGCTGCTGCAGAGTACAATAATTGCTCCGCACCTGAGCGAATTATTCGAATTTTTCAACCCCAAGCGGTGACGAGGACTCTGCATGCAGTGCGTGGGGAGACTAGGCAAAATGTTCACGGTCCGAGTAACACGGTAACAACTCATTTCCTAGTGTGTGAGAACCAAAACAATAAATAAAATAAAACACAAACCTCCGAGTTCCGGCGGTTGAGCTCTTGTCTCGTTATTGTGTATTATCGCCAGGCAAAACAGACAAATCTGTAACGAATTTTCGTTTCCCTCTCCCCCCTTTTTTACATAGCTAATATATAATATGTTGCACGCATGTCGTATATATACACTCACACTCACATCCACACCAAATCACAATAAATTATTAAAAATTATAATAATGTTATATATCACTGTATTGTCGACCCTTACCTGCGTCGGATCCGGCGGTCCACCAATCTTCCTGTACGTTGCCTTGGTCAACTCTGGAGCAGAATTGCATGAAGGACGGCATGCTGGATTTCAGTTCTTCGCCAAGGCTCATCATTGTAGAGCCTTTTGTGATAAAACCTGAAACGATACAAATGGAAATAGGACTTTTGTTAATACACTGCGAGAATAGTAGAACACACAATAATATTATAACATGATACGATAATAATATATTATTATTGACCCGATGTATTGAAATAGAGTAGGTACTTGATAAAATAATATACAAGACGCACTGCGGCGTACGAAGTCTCGTTTTTACGTTCAGATATGTAATATTGTTTCAACCACCTCCGCGGGGCGCCACCACCGGTTGTGGATTATTAATTATTATTGTCGCCGTCTTAGGTTCCAATGTTTGTACTGATAAACGAGAGGTTTATTGTATATGACGTACGCGTGCGAGTCGCATCTGCTTTTGATAAACAAAATAAAATCGCCTGCATTTAACCACGCGCGCCTGTTGCTTTGCTTTGCGCAAGCTGCAATGTCGCGAGTGCGCACCTATATGTATATAATACACACGTCTATATATTATGGTATATATTACCCTCGTTGCGTGGTTTTACGACGGTCGTATAATCGATTTACTAGTTTTCCAATCAACCCTCAATATTATATTATACGACCGTGGTTGTAACCTAAACAATAATAATAATATTTAACCACGCGCGGCACCGTACAGAGATCTTCCCTTTCCAAACGACCTATACGCAAGATCTATATAGATAGTGACAATATATTATACTATAGATAAATATGCTATGATTGTTCTGCGCTCGATATAATATCGCGGATGTGTGTACAGTACAACTGTACACTGCACGAGTCTTATCACTAACTAAACAATTTGTCGGCGAGTTCGTGGTCGTCGAGAACTGTATGTATATATAACATTATAAATAGGTAAACGTCAGTTTGCTTGAAAAATAAAACCCATTAGAAACAATATAATAATATTATATAATATGTAATTGGCCGCGGCACGTTTTCAAAACGACAACTGGTTTTACAAGCTTGGCCACGTTAATCATGGTTTCGGATCTGTCACTGCTGCGGCAGTCGTACCGCCTTTACACGTACCTAATACCATAATAAGGTGACGTATTGTTTTTCGTTCGTTCATTCATCGGAACGCTCATCGGCGATAACGCCGTCTCACACCACTAATCGAAATCGAAATTATATAAATAGGCATATACAGGTATATGCAACGAGTACAGTATGTTATTATTATAAATTATAATTTTATTTTATGATAGCAATAATATTATAATGTGTACGCTCGGGGAAACCGCTGTTGGGCCGGTACATGTTTTTTTATTCGAATGTAATTCGTCGGAATATAATATATATATCATTACGATCGCGGTCGGTTGAATAACTCTAGAGCGGCGGCTTTTTATACATACCTAGGTAGGTAGAATGCATAATAATTTTTTCTCTTTTCGTACACACTTCGACGGACCCGGGATTTGTGCGCGCCCCATGAAAACCGGTTCTCTATACACGCATTCTACAGGGGGTTGTGCCTGCGTGCGTGCGTAAAGGGCTTATTATAATGGAGGGTTGGTTAATGGTTTCGTATATACATATATTTTTTTTTCCAGTTTCATGCTCGAGTGCGATTGTACGCTGCCGCCCCGTTTCCCTCCGCCACACCGCCCGTTCATCACTCTCTTTCTGTTTTTCTACAGCGCGCACCAACGGCAGCAGCGTCACAAGTATTATAATACTACACATTATATATCAGCACGGAAACCGTTTGGGGGGGAAATTATTCACCTATATACCATTATAAACGCACGCACATCAACCCCGCGTGTCTCCCATTTTGCAAGGGTGGTTGTTGTTCGCGACGGGTTTATAATACCCATACTATATATATTATACTTAAGCGATTTGACAATGTCGCGATTCCGTTCTGCTGTAGACGGGTTTGTCTAGGTTATATTATATTCTATGCTGTAGAAGGCCTGATTTTAAAATGGAACTTCTCGGGGCCTAAAGACCGAGGTGTCAACTTTCTAGTGCGGCATAAATATTTTCGAGATTTGACAACGGGGTGAAATACTTAAAAATGTACAAATGCGCAGTGACTGATTTCGATTGAGTTATATATGATATAAGAAATAAGAATACATAATAATATATGTTGTGCAGCTCTACAAGATTTGAGAAACTAACGAGAATGAAAAATACTTTGAGAAAAGGATAGAATATTATTATGTACTTTTGACTATTATCTTTCTTCTATAATGGACGGCGAAACGTGACAACAAGAGCGCGTATTGTTTTGTCAAACGTTCGGAATAATCTTTCCGAGGATTTTTGTCGGTTATAAGAATCGCGCTAAGCTTTACTCGGTAAATTGTCGTACAATTTGTCGTCATAAAATTATAATGGTAAATGGATAGAGACTGATAGAGATTACAGTGAACGTAAGTCGTTTTTTTTATATATATGGTTGTTACAATTAACGTTATCCGCGTCGTACAGCGGATGGAAACGGACGACTGTTGTATACGACAACCGTTGTAGGACGCCAAATAACAATGGTAATCTACATGTTTAGCATAACGACTACCTGCATGGACTTAAAAAAAAAGTGTTGACTCAAATACACGCCACGCACGGCGGTAACCCCAAAAACCCAATATAGACAATATTATTATACATACATATTATTATACGCGCATAATATAACATATTATAAGTATACCGCCGTCGTATACACGATCATTATTATATTATTATATATTTGTTATTCATAACCGAACGTCTTACGCGTACCAGCATGAAACATGCATATTATAGTGTCTGGATCCCGTATCCTTAAAAATATATGTCTGCCGAAGGACATGATGTATACCTAATATTATTATGCATTATTTTCACCTCGCCCGTCGCCGCCGGTTAAGTGCCGGCGCGCGCGTGCTGCGTTGTGACACACGATACCGTTGTCGCGCGTTTTCTTGGGCCAGCGAATTATTAATATTACTGTCGTGGAGTATATCATAGGTGGAGGTGCACGATAATCATAATCATAATAATAATAAACAATACCTACAACAATAATAATAATGCGGCTACGTGTATTTTCGGTGCGCAGTGCGAGCGTGATATTATATCATACGGGACGCACACGGGTAATTTACACATAAAGATAAATAATTATTGCAGCGATCTACAACAGCGAAATGAAATAATAATAATAATAATAATGAATAAAAAAAAAAACAAAACAAATATACTTAATATGTTAAACTACTACAACTATTACAATAGTGTCTTCTGTTTAGGAGTCGAACCCGCATTGTGCGCGCACAAAGGAACAGCCACTTATAATAATATGCAAACACACAAACACACACACAGTCTACAGCGACGTGACAAATTACTCGGACGATTAACGACACGTCGTATCTACGTACGGATTACGGCTGCCCCCCTCCCCCGCGACCGTAAAAGTCGTCGCCGCGTCCTGGATCGCGATTCGCGGTGTTTAATCCGAACGTGATAATATCATATACAATTAATATTTAATAGTAATAATATGTTATTATTATTATTATAAATAATTATTGTCGTCGACGACGCGTATTGGCCAATAAAATTCGACTTTGCAGGCGCGGGACAAACGACAAACCGTCTCGCCCCGTACACTCGCGGGTTTTACGACTGCGAAACATAATATTATCACGTAGGTACCTCCTGTGTCACGATAATAATATAATATTATTGTTATGTTATATTTTTATACACACACACACGACACACGTGTGTCGTATAAAACGCGGGTCGATATCGTTCGTAGACTGCAACAGTGGCCGCCGTATAGATGAAAAGTTTATCGATCGTATATTATCAACTACTGAGCTATATAATATTACATCGAAATTAAAAGAAATCCTCGTGTGGCAGCATGGCACCATGTATTGTATTATTATAGGACGCGACGTGGTGGTTATACTCGTCGTAAACCTGGCGGAGCTGTACATTTCGCGTTAAAATAAAATAAATACGATATAATAATATATGACGTTCGTATATTATAATACGGGATCGTGACCGCGCATGACATTATTTTTTCGCTCCCGCGCGTACGTGTTCGGTAGGCCCGCATCGGCCTTATATATATATATGTACATACGGTTACTCTATATACCTACCTAAGTATACGACTTTTAAATCCGTACACGGTAAAACGGGCACACAATATCATAAATAAATAAATAATAAATACAAATATTATACCGGACGCGTACGTGCACGGCGGTACCCCTTTTTCCCCGCGGGTCGAGTAAAAAAGAGTTCTCGTCCGAGTATTATACACCTATACATACCAGTTATTACTTACTATACGGTGCACACCGGATACGCCGCGTAAAAACAACCCGTGCGAAGCGGAAACTGAAAAATTGCTTTTCGATGTATTTCTCTCCATCACCACCCCTCACCCTTTAACGCAGCGCGTCGGTACGAGTTAGCCGCGATTAAATTTACAATAACAAAACGCGGCGACTACGGTGCAAGTAGAATATTAAGCACGGCCTGGGGGCAAACCAGCCCCGAGAATACGATGGTGGGGGCAGGGTAGAGGTAGGAATGAGTGATTTATAATTGTTTGACTGGCGGGAAATTTGAAAACCATGTACAAACACTTTTATTATTAATTACACTTTTATTGTATACGCATGTCGCAGGCTTTTAGTACGTAAAAAATGAATAAAATTATAGGTTAGATTACGGTTTACAACTACATAATAATATAGTTTATTAAATAAATACCAAGAATTTCAAAAAAGAGACTTTTTCAAATGTAAGTTTCTTAATATAGACTTATTACAATACGAAACATCAAAACTCAATATATTTTATTTCACAACGGGGAAGATTACAATTGACTTGGCAGATACCCCTTGCAGAATCCGTTCCTGAACGAGACGCTGAATAAAGGGTAAGTCACCTATCGATGTATAACGGACTTTTAAATACACCAAATTGAACGTCATATGAATACGGATTGAATATAGATTTATTTTTACTATTTAT